TTCCTGATTCTTTCAGCAAAAAAGGTTGGTAAACCATCTACAAATTTGGCTTTCCAGTGCTCATGATTTGCATCATTGAGTTGGAGAACCTTTGCCAAGAATACATCTTTATACCACCTGAAATGAGTTAAAGATGGACATCTTAGATTCTGTAGAAGTTCACGACTCCTTTCACTATTAGCACCTTCAGGGCCAACAAAATGTTGGATAATAGTGGTAATGAGTGTGTAAACAGCATCAGCAGCAGGGCCTGATTGCTGAGTAGCTTCATCTTTAACAATCTTGGTAGCAGCAAAGATTTCAGCTTTCTGAATGTCAGTGAGAACATTATCCCACCATCCTTTAAGGATTCCTGTAAAACCAGCAACGACAAACTTAGCAATGGTTGGGTCAGTATTGTGGTTGATTTTACAGACTTGGCTATACATCAAGATTTGATGAATAACCTCGTAAATCTGATAATCAGATTTGCCATCTATGTTCCATTCATAAATGGTCTTGCCATGAAAAGATTTCTGTGTATGAAAATAATCTTCTTCATACAAGATATCTTGAGGTGTGGGTCTGGGATAATAATATCGACTCGGAGCAGGGGCTGTATTCGAGTGGATATTCTTATCATAGACAATTCTGTTGAACTCAGGTAACTGAGTAAGATCCTTAAGGACTTCCTCAATATGAGGCAACATATTTTCAGAATCAGAACCAATTTCAGATTCATCATGGGATAAAGTCTGAATTTTAAGTCCTTGAATTTTCTGAGTAAGAAGAGTAAGAAATTCTTCATTCTTCTTAGGATGTGTCAGATTGAAGCCTTGAACTTCAATTGCAGGTTTCACCAATGCTTTGGATAAGGAAGCTTCTGGAGGAGAAGGTTGTTCAGAAATACACTTAGTATTAATTGTGTTTAATACAGTGTTTATTCCTGTTTCAATTCTCCCAAGCTGGGATCCTATAGTTTGTAAGCAAACATTGGTATAATTGTTCTGCTTGTAAACGTGAGTAATGTCCTTTCTAGTAGCATTACTAGTTGGATCAATTACTTTTGGTTGGCTATAAGCCTTGGTTTCCACTTTAGAACCACTGTCCGGGTCAATTCTTTTGAGAATTAGATGGTCAGGGGGAGGATGGACAGAGTGGAAAACCTTATCTTCAGATGTGGTCCATGGTTTCAGGAAATCATCCAATATGTTGATATTAACAAGAGAATGATTGGTCATATAAAACCAAGAAACAAAAGGTATAACCATTTTGCGTTCTTGTAGAAATTCATAAAATTGGGTTTTGAAAAGTTGCAATTGATTTTGATCAAAACTTTTGAAATACCAACTTCTGAATTCTTTATATTGATCCTGTTGAAATTCAGCATTAATGGCAATTCTATCAGGGACAAAATCCATCAAAACTAATATTCATGAGGATCATTTATGTCTGTGGGATCTTCAAATTGATCCTTCACAGATTCGTTTCCGATTCCCATTTCAGATGGAGTTGGGCTGAATTCAATTCCAAATTGGCGACGAGACATACCTATTGGTGCTTTCTCGTAAACTCCTCTTGGAATTTGATTCGGAGATTGTTGTATTCCTTTCAGCTTGAGCTTGGAATCAACTGCTTCAGGGAGTCCTTCTTTACGATAATCTGACGAGATCGAATGTCGAGAAGGAGGACAAGAAACACGATAAGGAAGATGACTTCCTTTTGATGATGTCGATCTGGATAGATCGATGGATTTTCTGAAGTTCAGAAAAACATCACCATCCTGGTCCTGAATAACACAGTCTAAGCTATGATTAGCAATTGGCTGTGCTGGGACGGCATTGGAAATCGTCCAGTGTTCAGGAAATGTTATCTCACTCCAAGGAATCATCCTTTTTGTGGCAACATTTGATGTGTACATGTTAGTATCCCATAACGCTGTTACTCCTTTAGAGTCTTTGCGTATGGCCTTGGGACACATCAAGTACTTTGTAATGGATGCGATAAATAACACTTATCACTTCCGATCCAGGTAAGTAATCATATCCATAAGTCTGTACCCTAAGACTAACTGCCTCATGGATATTTTTATCTGTTAAAGATAAATTCAGACTAGGATAGACATCAAAGTAAACCGGTCCATGACATAGACTGGTTTCCAGTGCACCCATCAAAGAAGGGTGGAATTTCAGACATCGAGCATCCCTTAGGGTTGCTTGGATGCAGGCATCCATACCTAACAAGGTTAAAGGTTTAAAAGCAATTTGAATTAAACCTATATGGATATACTTGTATTTATGCATGTGCCTCTGAAGGTCACGGGAAGACAATAATTTAATTATTGTATCTTTAGTGCTTAATTGCATGGTCTGTTCCATGGTCTTAATAGTCCATAGATCAGCTAAATTAAGCATTCCGATTTTGTAAATGCTTTTTGCACTTACTGGAGGGATAGTCCATTTGTTCAATTGATTTTGAACATTGGTCTATTCCACTACTTCAGTATTTTTTACCAGTTCTGAATCCTGGTTATCCTGTAGTCCTGAAGAGGAGGACGAAGAGGGTTGTAACATGGCTGTTAATTATTGTTAATACTTTAAGGTTTGCATAGTATAAATATTATAATATTATGTAGTGAACAGTAAGTTATTATTCTGTCGTCGTTCTGCTTAAGAGAGATTCTATTACTCGTCTGTCAACGATTTACTGGAAACAATACCCTGTGCAGCAATTCAATGCAAAAATGGGTTAAACATTCCAACGCGACTTTTGGACGACCCATAATTGAATCTGGGATAAACATAAGTTAGACAGAATAATATTCATATTGTTCATGACATAATGACGATAATAATCATGCTACCAGAACCTATAACAAGGTATCATGAAAGAGGAATTATTAGATTGCTTTCTTTACTAAAAATAAAAAATGAACCCATAATGCTATGTTTGGTGTGCAGGAATTGAATGGAATGAAATGTCTATTCTAACCATTCCTTTGTTTGGTATGCGACTTAAATTTGGAATGGCCATTCTATTGAAATGAAAATTCATTCCTGGGAATGAAAATTCATTTAACAACTAAACCTATGGAAGTAATTTATTTTTTAAAAATCGACTTCCCAAAACACCTTCATATTCCAAGTCTAAAATCCATCATTACCTTCTACCACAATCATCTCCGCCTTTCACCACCACCACCACTACCACTGCCACTGTCTTCCAACACCACCGACTTTCGCCATCACCCACCACTTTCCACCACCACCATCGCCACTGTTACCGCCACTGTTTGCAGCAACCACCGCCACCGCCACCGCCTTTCACCATCACTACCACCACTGCCATTGCCTTTCACCACCTTCCACCACCACCGCCGCCATCACCTTTCACCACGACCACCACCTTCTACCACCACCACTGCTACCGCCTTTCACTACCACCACCTTCCACCGCTGCCACGCCATAACCCTACACCACCACCGCCACCTTCCACCACCACCACCGCCACCTTTCACCACCATTGCCACTGCCGCTGCCTTCAACAACCACTAACGTCGCCACCATCGCTTTCCACCACTACCATCGCCTTCTACCACCTTCCATCACCACCACTGCCACCACCACCACTGCCACTGCCACTGCCACCACCTTCTACCACCACCGCCGCCACCACCTTTCACCATCGCCACCACCACCACCTTCCGCCACCACCTTCCACCACCGCCACCACCACCTTCCACCACTGCTTTCCGCCACCACTATAGTTACACCACTATCTCCTTCCACCACAACCACCACATTACTGCCACCGCCTTCCACCAACACCACTGCCACCTTCCACCACCACTACTACCACCAATTCCCACCATTGCCACCATCGCCGCCTTCCAACACTACCACCTACACTACTACCGCTTTCCACCATCCATCACCGCCACTGCCAACATTTATTTGTAAAAAATTATTAGAGAATATCATTTTGTTAATTTTATTTAATTTATTTGTTACTAAGAGGGATATTTTGGAGAATTCAATTAGAAATTTATTCCATTCTAAATTTTAAATTGGTCCAACCAAACACTAGAATGGTTATTATCATTCAATTCCTACACATTTCATATTTACAACTAAACAATAGAATGAGAATGACCATTCCATTCCATTCTCATTCTCATTCCATTCCCACTTGTATTCCATTTCATTCCTACACACCAAACGTAGCATAATAGTTTGATATATATAATTTTCAAAAAGTTAGTCTGATAAGATATTTTAATTTTTGATTGAACTGAACCACCAAATGACTTATAATCAAGGACTGTTGAATTAATATTTACAAATTAAATTAATATATAACACAAGTATTTTAAAGATGAAAGTATTAATATTAGGGCATTACCTAGTTGCCTAAGTTGATAAGCTTCGAATTCTCCTCTCTTAGTTTATCAAAAAAAAAAAAATAATATTACACCTAGATTTAATATATTAAAATGGAGTCCGCAATATTATTATATCAACTTTTCAGGCCACCAAATAATAATGTTACAACTCGATTTACCAGGGAAGTGTTATTTGCACTTTAATCTAAACCTCAGGCACTCAACTGCGCAACCACCATAATAAAATCCCAGTATCAAATTTATCGAAGAAGTGTTCAACGCTTTTATCATGCTAAACGTACCCCAGAATCAGATGCATCGTTAAACTGTGCAACCACCATAATAAAATCTTAAACCGGCTGATTTCTCTTCAAGGTTGCAATTACATACAACCTATGAAAGGCCGTTATCATCATCATCATCATCACCTCACACTAACAATAATGATAAGAATTGTACCTTTTATATCATGTAAAATTCGAAATTTGATATGCAATTCGGCTGCATGGTTAAATTTTTCTCCAATTTCACTAATTCTAAGTTTTAGACTCTCCAATACCATGCAATGCAGCCGAACATTCCGTAAGCATAAATTTTCAGATGGGCATGCCGCCTCCAAAACACTTGGGACTTCTAACATAAAGAACTGAACACGACTAATATTCAATCAGAATAAATTAGCTGTAAATCAAAACATTTTCCTAATATAATTATGATAAAAAGCCACAAAAGAGCAATCGTCTTAAACAAAAAAACATCTTTAACATGGTCCAACACGACAAAATGTCTGTCTTCATGAGTAATCATAGAGTGATATGCTCTTATCATCAGACACACTTGCAAGCCGATAACCTTGCACACCGTTCCCTCCAGGTGGTCGAAATGCCACTCCCCAGACCTGGTCCGTGTGGTTGCTCACTGTCTGCACGGTCGCCCTCAATTTAGGATCCCACAGTCTGACAGTCTTGTCACTTGAGCCGGTTGCAATTGCCGCCCCATCAGGACTAACATCCACACTTAAGACCCAGCTGGAGTGACCTGACATGGCCGTGATCAAGCTCTTTCCCTCAGCATCATACATGTGAACATGGCCATCATCTGAGGCTGAAAAGAGAATCCTTGTCGGATCAGGTGAATAAACAAGAGAGCGCACAGGCATGAAATGGCCCTCCAGTTGGTGAAGGAATTTGGCACGAGATACATCAAAGACAGAGATGGTGCCATCCATTGAGCCACAAGCCAGTCGTCTCCCGTCATGGCTCCAGGCAACTGAGAGGACAAACTTCTTGCTGCCGCTTTTATCAGAGGGCTTTAATCCTTCAGGCCGAGGGTTTGACAAGGTTGCTATAAGTTGCCACTTATCAGTATCCCACAATTTAACTGATGCGCTGCCCCCACCGGCAACTGCTAGAATGGTACCCTGAACAAAAAGACGTTAGTCAAGTGTGATCGGGTATATGTTTCTAATAAAACTAAATTACAGAAAAAGGTGTTACAACCACCTATAGTTATTCATTGTAAATAAATTTTATTTGTTGACGAAGCATCTACAGAAAGCACATATACAGGGATTATATAGGTGACTTATACATTGCAGAAAATCAAGTAATACTTTAGCAACAAAATCAGATGACAAGTTGCAAGCTGCGAGATATTGATATCATATCCAAGGGCGAATCCAGAAATTGTTAATAAGGGGGGCTAATATTAAACAAGGGGAAATTGGGGATTGAAAGATTAAAGAGTTAGAAAATTTTAGAGGAAACAGGGTTAGACTTTAGAGGGAAAGAAAGAGTGAGCTCTCTTATTTGTGCAAGATTAGAAATTTAGGAGTATCCGTGCTTTGGTTTAGTGATTATTTAGGGCTTGTTTGGCTTGGGCCTTTTTAAAATTGTGGCTTAGATATTGGGCTTGTTTGGATGGGTTAAAATTGAGGGGCTAATACTACTACCAATTTTTTCTTTTTTAAAACATTGGGCTAAATATACCCATACTAAAAAAAAATTTTAGGGGGGGCTCAAGCCCACCCAAGCCCCCCCTTGGATCCGCCACTGATCATATCAAACTCATGCACACGAGACATGATTGTGTGTGCCATTGCCAAGGCGGTGTTTAGTAGTTTTTTTATTGTATTCCCTACTAAGAAATATAGAGTTCACAACTCAAACACAAATGAAAAGGTAGAGCTCGTATGTTGGGGGGGGGGGGGGGGGTCATGCTAAAAACTAATCTAACACTAGCAGATTTGAAGATAAATTGGTGACAGCAGTTCTACACCTAGGTTCTGAAATCAGTGCATTTCTAAAACGAGCAGTTGGGCTTCCAAAACAAAATCTGGGACTTTTTATACCATGCATTAGAATTTGATAATTAATTGACATATAAACACAATTTAATCATGTCGCTTTGGAATCCCACATTGAACTACAGAGAGAGAGAAAGAAAGGTTTGGATGTCTTTTAGAATATAAATTCAGAAATTTGTAGATAATGAACTAATAAAACAAGTTGCGGCTAACTGAAATTTTGAAATAGTAATTTTGTTCTTGTATCAGTTTAGAGGGAGCTGCGAATAAGTTTTTCCATAAAACAAACAGAACGATCTTTTGCATGTTCTCAATCATCACCTATAAAGTAAACAAAGAGAAATCAACAACTTATTCAGATATCAGTAGAAATATCAAAGATTAAAGGAAACATAAGACTAAAAAAAGCAAACTATTTTTTCTATTTGATTTTATATAAGCACTAACTTCAAGAGAAAAAAAAATTCCCAAATCAAGGGAGAATGTTCCCTCTGCAAGTTTTCAATCATTACCAACCAATCACGTAAATCAAAAACCACCAAAACAAAAGATATATATTTTGTTTAGCACAAGATTGGAAATAAAGAGAGAACTTTGCACTGGTTTGATAAATAATATAATGGAAGGGTGAATTATGATGCAGGTTTGGGCAGGTGTGCTAAACCCAACCAATGGTATTTCAATGTCAGTGGGTGTGACCTGTATCCAATTTGGCATAATTGAATGAGATTGAAACCTGATAGACCCAATGTCCCTGCCACATTCAGATCATGACGATAGAATTGTTTTACATTCTTTCTCCTTCAGGAGTGATTACTGTGAACATCAACTATAATTATCTCTATTCTCTATCCACTTTACTTGCTAAAGATACTTTAAATCAAACTTAATATGTTTTTCTAGAAAGCAAGTCGAATCTCATGACCCTTTTTTGCAGTCGTAATTTCACAAAAGATCTGTTGAGTACTTGTGTAAGGTTCTTCAAGTACAAAATATATTTCCATATTAGGAGATAAAGTAGATATAGTTTGAGACGACTGAAGAAGAGCTAAGTGAAGAAAAAAGGAGAAGGAGAGAAAAACTTTAAGGAGAGGGAGATGAGAGGATATCAGATAAATAATGAGAGAGAAAATAAGAAAGGAAATCTAAGATAAAATTAGATGTGTAAGAGTGATACAGTTCAAAGAAAAGCTCAAGGGAAATAAATTTGAAGTGAAGGGAAATTCTAAATATTGGTTCAGGCAGAGCCAACTTGAGACTTTGCACTTTGTTTACTTTTAGGTTAGTATGATGCTGGTCAGGATATCCTTTTATTTTTCGGAGTTGATGGCATCATCAACACCATCATCATCCTTGCCTTAATCCCATATTAATAGGTTCGACCAGATGAATCTTTTATTGGATCGAATAATGATTTTGGGTCTTTATGTGTGGTCGTTTAGCAAGCCTAGATAAATTTCCTAATCTAAGCCTTTGAGTTTCCAAATATGGAATCCGATATATCCAAGAGTAAGGATTTCTACAAGTCTATATTAAGTTATATAATGAATTTAATTCAACACAAATCAATGTAGAGAAAATTTCAAACCTTCTGAAGATTTTTGGGTTTGTGTGATGCAATTCTAATCGTAGGAATGACGCCTATCGTTTTCCTTTTTCCTCTTCCATCTCTCTTCTTTAGTTTTCTGTACTTCTATTAGCCTTGGAAAGCTCATAACCAAATCTTGTTTTATTGTTTTACAATCTTAACCCTTCTATCTTTCAATCATTGAACAATCACATGCCAAAAATGCAAATCAGCATAGAACTCTCTCTCTCACTGATAAGTATAACCTCCCCTTCCCCCCGGGTTCTCCTATTGGGATGGGTATGGGAGTGTCCTTTATAAAAGGTATGAGGCGGGTATGGGGAAAACAAATAATACCCGTTTCTGGTTTGGGGCAGGGATGGGTTTTATTCTATCCCACCCGCCCCAATTATAGTGCACAATTACCACTATACCCTTATCTAATACTAATATTTCTCAAATACCATTATATATGTAAGCATTTCTCATTAGGGTTTCAAAATGTTTAAATTCAGCAGCCCCAAACCCCCACTGCACAACCTCCCCTTCCCCTCTCCGCCTCCCTCCTCTCCATCTGTGATCTGAATCTATGTGTCGTCATTCTCTCCTTTACCATCCTCTTGCATCAACTCATACACAACTGGTATCGGCTTTATTGGCTCTCTCTTTTACATTTAGCCATCAGATGGCAATCTCTTTCTCCTTCTAGGGTTGTCATTTATTGGTGGCTTTTAAATCCTATATAGATCTGATATTGGGGAAAGCTTCTCAAATATCTAAACATGATAGAGGAGTACTAGAGGAGTAAGGGTTTTCTTCTGTTTTTTTTTTTTGGAAACTTTTGCTTTTGTATTTGATACACGCGTATATATGTGTGTGTGTATATATATATATATCATCTTTGTGTGTCTCGCGGGGTGGGGCAGGGTGGGGTCAGGGGTTGTGAGTTAGATTCGTAAACGGTGTTGGGATCAGGGGTTGTGAGATAGATTTGTAAACCGTGTTGGATAACAATTTCAAACCCACCCTGGGTTCGGGACGGGTATGGGACCAAGTAAAAGTAAACGGGGTGGGATAGGGTTTACAGCAACCCGCCCCGTTGCCATTCCTAGATAAGTAGCTTATATCACTACTCACCAGATATTGTTTCAGCACCCAGACCAGCTCCGGTACTTCCTCTTTTGTTGACTAATTAAAACCCAAAATCCGTACCAATATTATACACTTCCTGCAAACCCCTAAACCTGATATCTCCATGAACCTTTAACCCATTTTATACACTTCATGTAGACCCCTAAAGCTGGTGCCTCCATGATCCTTTAACCACAAAAACCAATAACAATCCCAAAAAACTTTTATTTGCCACTGCACATGTCAATTTTGGTACAATAGCTTCAAGGAGAATGTCGTTATGCAATCAAGATGCATTGGAGAAAAGAAAAAGTGACAAGAGAAGTAAACTCTGAGAAGCATAGTGAATCATATAGTGAGATAATAGAGAGAGAGAGAGAGAGAGAGAGAGAGAGAGAGAGAGAGAGAGAGTACAATTAAGATAAGAAATATGAGGAAATAATAGATGACAGAGAGATAAAGAGAAAATACAAGAAGAGAATACAATTAAGATAAGAAATATGAGGAAATAATAGATGAGAATAGATGTGTTCAAGGAGATAGTCAAGAAAGGAGAGGGGAAAAGAATTCCAAAAAAGTGCGAGAGAAGAGAGGTAGAATAAAAAATAGAAGAAGAAGATAAATATTTTTCATCTATTGGAGGTTACACTCTATTAACACACTTAAAGCCTACTCATGTGCTATAAAGCATGGATAACATGGGACACATACACAATATACTAAAACACGCCTATGCGGCAAATTTAAAAATGCACAATAGAGATACAAGGACACAACAACGAAAAAATATTTTTTTATATGTTCAATTGGAGTACACATGACAAATATGATATGTTATGACTATAATATCAAATTTGTAACTTATGAATCATGGTAATTAATAACCACTCATGTCAAATTGAAAAAACACAAATACAATACAACATAAATTTGAATGCATGTATGTACGTATGTAAATATGCATATGCAAATGTATAGCATTCACACACAATAATGAGGAATCCTCTCTTCCCACCGTGACCAGTTCTATATTAGACATACCTCTATTACATGGTCAAAATTTTGAATAATTTTCATACACACCTTTACAATTATATCTTCCCATACGAAAAGAAAGTCATATTCAGACATACAAGGTTTTTGGTCACATCTTAGCGAATGTGCAAACAGTCTTCGTTGCGTGTAATAAAATCAAAATTTTAGTTTTAAAGTATGCACACGTTCAAAATGTGTCAAAAGGTGTCAAAGAGTGCCAAAGTAGTATCAATGTCCAACATGTGTTGAACACAAACACGACATCTTCTTAGATAAACCATAGCTCTGTGGAAATAGAGGGGAAAAAAAATAATAATCTACCTAATACGTTTACACTCGAAGTCTTAAATATGGTTACGTTTAAAGCCTTAACTTTTTATTCCTAAACATCTATAACTTCCACAAATAAAAGAACCACAGCAGGATTCAAGAAAATTCTTGATACCACATCATCTTAAAAATTAATTAATTCTCACATTCCATATTCTTTTCAAGGGCTGTAGCCTGTATGATGTATCTAATAGAGTGCATCACTTGGGGCTCCAAATGTTGACTAATAGAGGCTTGAACATGGCATCAATTTGTCATCTGGTTGAGTGGGAAGTTAGGGGGTAAATCACTTCAGGATCATAAATGCAGCTAGTGTGGATCTTATAGACCATGTTAAGATGGAGTGAATCAGAGGAACTTTAAAATGCCTTCCACAATGGGGTCTCTTTTATGTGAATTGATAGGGTGGTATATTCACAGCAGCTTTATTTGGACACAAATCCATCAAAGATATTCTAGTGATGCTTGAGCTATGCAATACTAGATCTTTGGTGTTTGCTGGAAGCAACCTACTGGTGGCTAGGGTGGATTTCTAACAACTCGATTATGGATGTAGATGAGCTATACTTACTAATCACATTAACCCAAAAAATAAAAATCAAACAACAATTGTCAAACTTTCAGATGTGATTCGCGAATTATGTATTTCAAAACATCACTTTTGTTTTTCAGTTTCAATAAAAAGCACAAAATTTTCCACCATCTAAAACAAAATGCCTTTTTTGCACTTCTACCATCACAAACTAATTCAAATAAAAAATACTTAAAATACATATAAATGAATCATATGAGATTTACCTCGGGATTGAATTGCATATGCCAGACTTCAGAAGGCGGGGCTTCGAGAGTGGCGATGGTGTTATTCTTTTCGACTTCGAAGACTCGAACGAAGCTGTCGAGCGAAGCTGAGGCGGCGATGGCTCCAGAAGGATGAGCAGCCACCGAGACGACGCCGAGGCAGTGACCGCCATTGGTGGCCTCGCACTTGAGTTCGTCGGGACTCCACAGCTTCACCGTCTCGTCGAGCGAGCCGGTCAGGAGGAGAGGCGGTCGGTCGGCGGTGGCTGGGACCCACGTCGCCGCCCACAACGAGTCATCGTGGGCGTTTTCCACCGTCTTCAGCCATGTGAGTTTCATTTTTTGTGATCGTAAAACCCTAGTTGAGAAAGTGTTTGACTGAATTGCTGACTTTGCTTCTCGCCGGAGTTTCGTGACTTTCTCTTTTTGCAATGGTGTCCTTTGTGTTAAAAGTATCTATGTTCTTTTTTTTAAGTAAAAAATATCTATGTTAAATATGAAATTAAGGACCCCAAATTATAACAAATATGAAAAAAAAGGGGCGGGGGGAGCAATTTTCCTAGAAGTAGTGTATATAACTATATATATAGACAAAGGGTTTGCACTTGTATGAAAAAATTATTTTATTTTTTCATTCACGTTTTTTTGCTGAACAATTTAACTTTTTAAGTTTTAAACAAAATTAACAATTGGAGAGTGAGATCTTTGATTCCTTCCAAACATTTTAACAACATGAAATATCTTTTTTTTTAAAATAAGGAAAAAAATGTGTCACCCCAATATGGCATGGAAGCAACCCACATGATTTTCTTCAGTTTAGATGGATGAAAAGTTATTAGATGGTCTAAAAATTTCACTTAGGTTGATTATTGTTAGAAGAATTTTATACTGTTTTGAATGTAAAAATATTAATATTTATGACTCAATAATATAGCTTTTGAGTCAAAAGATAAAGTGACCAACCCATTATACCTGGTATTAGTGTTAAAATCAATAATATAGCTTTTGAGTCAAAAGATAAAGTGACCAACCCATTATACCTGGTATTAGTGTTAAAATCGTTTTTAAATCCGTATCACACCAAACACTTTCATGAGTTTTTAATAAAAATAAATTGAGCCCAAAAAGAAATAAAAATTTATAATCTTAGATGGATTATAATTACAACGATCTTATATAGCATCGGATCTGAAATGGAAAAAAAAAAAAATAATATATGACCGAACAATTTAACTTTTTAGTCGAAAATCAAAATCACCAACCTCTGTTATAAGTTTGTATCATGGATTATAAATTTATAATCCATGATACTACATGAATTTAATAATATTACAAGAATTTATTTAGAGACTTTTTTAAGTCCTAAAGATATGGAGATTTGCCTTGTCTGAAAAGCACTGGATATGGATCTGGGCCTTTAGCTGGATCCTAAAGTAATTGAATGCGCGGCCCACCGGCCCGGTTTATCAATCTTAGAACAATCTAAAAGGGCCAGAACGGTGATATTTCTCTAGTGAACATGTTAGATCATCTCACTTCAAGATAAACCCTAAACAGCTGAAACGCCAATTTCGTTCCTCAAGTAGCTGCAGAAAGCTCGTCACAAACACTCAAATCTCTCTCCACACACACACACACACACACACACACACATATCAGCAGGTAGAAAGGATGGTTTGGTTTCAGTGCGAGGACTGCGGAGAGAACCTGAAGAAGCCCAAGTTGCCGAATCACTTTAGAATTTGCTCTGCGAACAAGGTCTTGATTTGGCTCTTAAACACTTACCTTTTAGCATTATTCTTTTATAAACTTATATAATACGGGGAATTCGTGGATGATTGGAGTTTTGAATATATTGTTTATTCTGTAATTTCCTTAGTTATCATGCATTGATTGCGGACAAACATTTGGGCAGCAGAGTGTTCAAGGCCACACTCAGTGCATTACTGAAGCGGTGCGTGTTTTACCTTCCTTTTCTTGTGTTGGTTATAATGAATTGGGTGCTTTTGTCTGTCTATCCATCTATAGATGTACTCCGTGTATAATTTCACTTCTTCCTCATTATCGTGTGTGCTTTTGTGTGTGTGTGTGTATGTATATATATATAATATTGTGTGTATATGCAATTGTTGTATTCTCCGATGACATAATACAATATGTTGATGGTGAGTAACCCTTCTAATTGGATACAAATTTTAGCCTCAATTCACACGGAAATGCTTGGAGAAAGGAAAGGAAAGGAAAATACTTAAGAAAGTCTAATTATTTTGCTGGAAAAAGTAACTTGTTTCTTCTAATTTTCAGGAAAAATATGGTCCAAAGGGCCAAGTAAAAACTGCAAATGCTGCGACTTCTAAGGGAAAAAATGATTTGAAGCAAAAACCTAATATTGATATAAATGTTGGGTTGTCAGAACGCCCCCCATGGTTTTGTAGGTGAGCAAAATGTTTATTTTTCTTCTACTACTGTTCTTTTATATACTTTCTTTAGAAAAGTAATGCTGATGCTGTGTTCGATTGCATGGAATTGGAATTGGAGAAAATTTAGTTCAAAGTTTAAAATAAATTTTCTCCTATTCCAATTCCATGCAACCGAACGTAGCATGAAAGTTTTTATGCTGAATCTAGAAAAGATAGGTGGCAGTTGGGATATGGTTCTTTCTTCTTTTTTTCCCTTTGCTTAAAAGGGTTCTACACCCTGATACAGAGGAAGCCACCTCAGAAGCATTTGCTGACAAACCTGATTCAACACTTGAGGGGTGGCATGATTGACGGATAATAATAACGAGATAGACCACAAGAGGCGAACAGCTTCCACAGTAATTCCCTTGGCGATAAATATTTGTGGTTTACAATTCTAATTCATTCTCTGTAGCTGTTGACAGTCATTAGCAGAACCGTTATTTAGGAACAGAAAAATGCTAGATTCCAAGATTTGTTAACGCCTACATCCCTAAAATCCACACTAATTCCCTCGGCGATAAATATTTGTGGTTTACAATTCTAATTCATTCTCTGTAGCTGTTGCCAGTCATTAGCAGAACCATTATTTAGGAACAGAAAAATGCTAGATTCCAAGATTTGTTAATGTCTATATCCCTAAAATCCACAGTAATTCCCTCGGCGATAAATATTTGTGGTTTACAATTCTAATTCATTCTCTGTAGCTGTTGACAGTCATTAGCAGAACCGTTAGTTAGGAACAGAAAAATGCTAGATTCCAAGATTTGTTAACATCTACATCCCTAAAATCCCATTCCCCATTATTGCTAAGATCTTGGAAATGGGCCCAAAATTCATTTCTATCACTTTGTCACCGATCAGATTGCAAAGAAGCCAACCAGCTACTCGTCACAATCCCCTCGGACTAGACATCCAACTTCAATATCCCAGGTTGCTCTTAAAGCAGTGTCTATATCAAATCTAACTCAGTTGGGTTTAGGAGAAGTCCATAAAGGTATGCATTGTTTCTTGTGAGAGGGTACGGAATTAGATTTTCATCTCAAAGCATATAAGTCTCTTCAGACTGAACATGGAGGTATTTAATGAACAATAATGAATAAATTTATGCATGTATGGACGTTTGTGAGCGTACCAATTCCTGTCAGCTTCTTGTCAATGAAATTTGAAATCAATGCACTTGGGTTTCCACTTGTCCAGTACTCCAGTTAGTTTAATATATATATATATATATTAAGGATTGGCCAAGGTGAACACACACACACACACACATATATATATATTGTTCTTGCAGCAACTCTCAAACTGATCTCAGGGTTGTTGCGCAAAGATTAGTGGCCATGATGTTGTCTGATGTAGAATTGTGAAGCTGGCTGCCTTAGGAGAGGTGAACAGTTCTTGTTGGCTCTTGAAATTGATCCCTGCCTTCCTGATTTGAATGATACACTGCACCATTTGATTTATTCTCTAGTGTTTTGCAGTCGCATATTTTTCCAAATCATTATCAGAAACTGAGTTAATTTGCCACTTCTGTAATCCAATGCCTGCTTTTATCCAAACCTGCTTCTCTGTGCTGCATGAAAGAGGCACAAGGCTAACTAAAAACAGTATAGTGGGTTTTACCTTGCTTTGAATTGTTTTTGGCCATTTCATTCTTCCATTGTTGTGCCTGGAAACTGAGTTGTTGCTAAATTTATGTATTTCCAGTCTCTGCAATACTCAAGCTACTAGTCAACAGACCCTGCTTCTCCATGCCGAAGGAAAGAAGCACAGGGCAAAAGCTCGAGCTTTTCATGCAGCTAGGCAACCACCTAAACAGACAGTAGAATCCACTCCCAGTTCTAAAGTTTCAACTGAAAGAACTCCAAAGGATGAGCTACCTGGCAATAAAGATGTGGTGGAACCAGAGAAACAGGATCAGCCTAGAGCTGCGCTAGCAAGTAACATTTCAGAAGCAGAAAATGGGAGTCTGCCATTAACTAAAAAGAGAAAACACAATGCATCTGAAACTGGAGCACCTAAGATGAAGGTGGAAGGGTCTTCAGGTGAATTAGGAAATGGGGAAGTAATTCAAGGTGAAAGAGCAGAGGCTGCGAAAACAAAGTACCAGCTGAAGAAAGCAAAGCAAAGTGTGCCTGATGAGGATGAGAGATTGGAATCTGGCTCTACCCTGGAAGACACCAAAAACAAAATAAAGTGGAAGAAGTTGATCACTTCAGTCCTGAAAGCTGTATGTATTCTCAATCAAGTCATGCTTATTTTTGCTCCTATGAAGGATTGGTGCTTATCTAAATCCATATTTGATAAAATTACTTTTGATTGTGCAAAAAGTCCATTCACTTCTTATTCTTCTTCTTTTGTTAATAGGTAAGACACATTCACACACCCACTTTGTCCCAATCGGGATTTGAACCCTCAACCTCCTCTTTGAGAGGTGGAGAAGATACCATTCAAAATAATGCTTGGTAATAAGTTGACTCACTTTGCCACTCCAATTACTAAAAAATAGTGCTTACAAATATAATTTGTTTCCACATGTTTTATCGCTTTTTATCTTTTTTATTATTATATTCTATATCTTGTTTTGCTGCACGTGGAACAGAATCCAAAAGGAGTTCTGAAAATGAAGAAACTGAAAAAACTTGTTCTTAAGGCTCTCCGAGATTCTGACATCACAGAAGATGAATCCCAACTCATTAATGTGCTTGAGCACAAGGTAAGCCCATCCATTGGTCTCTTTCTATTTTATTTATTTTTTTCCTTCCCTCCTTGTGATAAAGAATGAGGATTTTATGATATTGTCACGATTTTCTTCTCAGGTTAATTCTAGTTCCAGATTCAGTGTCAATGGCAAGTATGTTCATCTGGTGGCCAAAAGTTGAATATGGGTATTATGTCTGTTGAAGAACTGCAATCCATCGGAGTAGTTCTCTATTGCAAGCGTTAGTTTATCTCACATTCGATAAAAATTAAAATATAACCAAATGAAGCATTAGAAATGATTTCGGGTCTCCCCTACTTTCTACTTCTAGAAGAATTTTTCAGAAGCACCGTTGAGCCCATCCGTGTACTGTTGATGGATTTTTGTGACGGGAAAGTTTTTTTTAAAGGATATATAGTTTCTAGTCTTATTGACATCTTATTCATTGTTGGTTGATAATCCAATTCTACACTTAATTCTGAATTGGTTTGTGTTATTAAGTACGCATTTTGAATGTTACTAAAAAAATTAAGTGCCACTTAACATTGGGATGATACTTGAATATTTTTGTGTAAACTGTGAACTTTAAAAGCACTTGCATTTGGAGAAACCAGGTGCAACAACAACCAGATGCTGCTCCTCAGCAGTTTAGGCCCTTGGTCAAGCCAACTCGAGCAGCATTGTCGAGCTAGCAAATGGGCTGAGGCAAGGATAGAAGATTCTTACCCAGCCCACCAGCGCAGCCTAACCTGATCTGGGGCTCTCCTGTCCTCTACAAATGGCAAACTAATATCACGAGCCTCCCGGGAGGCCTAATAAGCCTCAACTTTTTGATTGACCAAATGACCTCTTGCCCACCAATGGTCGAGAAATTTTATCCTTGTGGTGACCATTGGATGTGATTTAAGTGGTAAAAAAAAATGTAATTACCAAATAACACAAGAATCATATCTAAAAGTCACAATACTTGGTGTAGATAAATTTATTGCTAAGAATTATATCCAAAAGTCACAATACTTGGTGTAAATAAATTTATTGTTCACCTGTGAGTAAAATATCATTTCTGTATATACATATATGATCAGTACTTTCCTTTAAACTTCACCTAGTCGATGGAGGCACTAAAACCTGTTCATTAGATTAAAAAGTAAAGCATTAATAAATCACCATTTGGTTAACTACAGACATGCATTCCAAGTTCCACCGCAGGCATGTATTTGTTGAATGGTAAGAAGACATCTATTTTCTTTGTAATCTAACAAGGTTCACTGCACACAGCTTGAAGCCTCAAATTCTCTGCTTATATTAAGGTTATCAAAAAAAAAATCCTTGTATACAATTATGGTGTCAAACAAAATAACCCTGCAATTCTCATCCCTCCATACGTTGGGATAGTTTGGTTTTTCCTCACAGATAGACTCTTATCTTGGATTGGCAGACCATAGGGAGAACTATTTTTTTCTTCGATTTTGCTGTTAAATTTCATATCTACACAAATACATGGTACTTCCCATCCAACATCTCTTTTTGGATGTTTGTAAAGTCCAAAGAAGTCCTCCGAATTGGCTGATCGGAGCTAGAATAGAAGAACCAAAATTATGATCAACAACACAACAGAACACACCATTGCCTGCAACAGCAACCACATTGTGTTAAATGAATGCTTGCAAAAAATGACTTATTGTAAAAGAAAAAGTTGAAACAGTAATTTAAACAAGGGTTAATTTTAGTGACCACCCCTGAGTTTTGGACAAATCTCACATGGAAATACCTTTCGAAAATAACTATCGCCCACATTACAAATGTTTGGTTTGTTTTTCATTTACACCCCAAACGTCACTTTTCAATGGTGTCAGAGCACTTTTTGCGTGTAAAATGACATTGTCACTTTTTGTTGGCTTATAAAATATTGTTTCATGTGTAAAATGACTTAACTACCCATAAGACTTATGTTAAGTGACCAAAATACCCATTACTTTAGTGAAAATTTCAACAGCAACAAAACAAATTTCTATGCCAATTTCTTCTTTCTGAAAAACCACTCAACCACCACGCTCACCATCACCACCACCAGTCACACACACATATACACACGCAGTCGCACATACACGTGTCAAGAACAGTTTATTTCACACCTAGACCAAAAAAGAACACAGACCTCCAATATAATTTAGAAATAAAAAATAGAATATAACAGAATAGATGTGTGTGTTTATATATCAGTATCAAGGAAGACGAAGGTAAAAATAAAAATTGGTTACTCTCCCACGAAGCAAGTAATGATTGCCATAGTCTAGCAAGTGCAACATAAAATAAAAATTACACCAGTTAAGAAAGCAATTGGGTCCATATAGAGAGTAATTCAAGGCCATAACTTGATACCTTCAAATACCCAATAACAAAATAATGAGACGGATTCAGACGAATGGTTAAGAGAGAGAAATTGACAAAGCTTATTAATGAGGATAATATTGTCTTTTAAATTTGTTGATATTTTGGATTAAAATGGATTTAAAAAATGAGTGTAAAATGACAATTTTACAGCTTTTTAACAATATAAGTGATGAAAAAGTGATTTGGGGTCTAAGTGATACTTATTTTCGAAAGATATTTCTATGTGAGATTTGTCCAAACTTCAGGGGTGGTCACTGAAATTATCCCTTTAAACAAATAGAGGGTCAAAAGGAAAAGAAATATAAAATGATCCAAATCCAAAAATTATTCAATTGGAAAATGTTGAGAGAGACTACTTACACAAATTGCAGAAGCCGCAAGGCCTGCTCGTTCCCTAGGATCCTTGTGGTAATAGTTGCCAAAATATAGAATTGTGGCATAGTACCACATCAGTGGGAACACAAATCCTAACAGAAAACTGAAACAACAGATACAACCATAAGATGGGGGGGGGGGGGGGAGGAAGAGGGAGAGGGAGGGAGGAGGAAGCAATGCAGAATACTCACGAAAACCATCCTATTCCACAGCCAAAACATGGCAGGGGTTTGTCATAGATCCCCACTTGGAAGTCCTCTGGATCTCTGATGAGAGTATACTTGCCTTTTTCACGGTCTGCAGTGTCTGTTGCTTGCCCTAACATCAGTAGAATATTACTCTCTTGTCCAGGTACTAAATGCAAGAGCAGCATCTATAATGTTTTGCTTTATCAACATAAGATGGAATTAAGTGTTTTTGAAATCAAACTAAGGGGCAATCACCACCACAATCCATTAAATGTCTCGTAAGGGAAGATGAGGATTGCAAGCAAGTTACTACTTGCAAGAACAACTTTATTTCAGATAGTAGGAAAAGGGACGTCTGTTTCGGCTGGGAGTAAAAATGCAAACGAAAATGACACAAGCAATTTTTTTTTTACAAAATCAAAACAAATGAAAGATAATTCAATAGGGTGGAGTGTTAAAACTAGTTTTATAATATATGCATACATATTCTTATATCAATCATACCATATTCCACAGGTCAATTTTTTATTTTTTATTGATCAGGTAAGTACTCACATGCGATTTTTTTAGTAATGAAGAACCCTTTCAATCTAGTGACCTTCGATACACGAGGCTAAAAAGTAAATCCCAGATTTATGCAATTACCTACAAACCACATATACCCTTTAAACTCGGGTCTTTTTGCACCCTACGAGAGTCGAACCAAGGACGTCGAAGTTTACAACTCACCCCAAGAGACCCTTTAACCTGGACCACCCGTGTGGTGGTACAGCAAATTTAATCAGAATGCGTCCACTTTTCTCATTGACCCACAAACAAAATACCTATGTGTGTGTGTGTGTGAGAGAGAGAGAGAGAGACAAGTAATCAAATAGACACCATCTGTAGATCAATTGTGAATATGCGGAGGTAAATAGACATTTGCAAGAGCAGTATTAAAAACTACTTATCGGGCCTTTATTGCACCAAACAGGATTACTACCTTTAAACATTGAAAAATATCGAGCGGATGGCCTCAAGAGATCAAGATGCTTATCGGAAGCTGATTTCACCAATTCAAGGGCATTTCTCAAACCCTTTCCCTCCTCAATATTAGCATCTGTGGCACAAAGAAGTCCCAAATTATAGTCATTAGGAGGCTGTGGCTATTTCTAGAGTTTTATTTTTTTTCCTTATTCTTTTACTTTCCCATAATTCTGCATGCACAACTCATGTCATAAACAGATCCAATGGTAGAGATTTTATGGGAATGCAACTCCCGAGGAGGAGCCCAATTTTACTGTATACTCCTATGTTTTGCATACAAAAATCTCAGTGATATATAGGCATATGCTAATCATTTTGCAAACAACAAGAACTGACTCCATATCATCTACCTATCACCGTGCTTATTGGCATTTCTGTTGAATCCTAACAATGTGTACTGCAATTACAGTAAAATTGAAGATGAATCGTTCTTTAATGGCAGAACAATAATATATCTCACATTGACATGATGTGGCACACATAAATGATTCAGTTGAAAAGATAGATGCAGTGCAAAATCTGTCTTGGCAGAAAAACTCATTGCATTTCCTAGACATTTAAGTGTTTTTGGTCATTGTCAAACTACCTGTAGTCTGTAAACATTGAGCACCACACACAACCAAGGACTTGAAATCATAGTAAATACCCAAAAGGAATCACACAAACAAGTAAAAGAACACACATATTTACCTGGTTTGACAAAAGTTACCTACATTGCCAGAGGAGAGGAAACTAAAATGATGGAGAACCGGGCCTGGCCCGAGAGCTTGAAGACCACATGGTCCACACCTACTATTGGAGACGTGGGAAAGAAAGATAGAATTAGGGATTTTTGTTTATTTATCATTATTATGGGATCTTTCAGCAATTTGGGGTTTTATATATGGTAATAGGTTGATTAGGGTATTTCTTCGATGTCTATTTATATGTTGGTTCAGACAATGTGAAAGTTAGCTTTGATGATTGATTATTGATTAATATTCAGAAATGATTGTGTTTCTTCTCCCTCGATTCTGATTTCTCCCTCTGTGATTCTTCTCTTCTCTCTCATTCTGATTTCTTCCCCCATTATTCTTATTCTATTTCTCTCTCAATCTCTATCTTAACCTCTTTCTTATTTACTTGAATTCTGTTTTCGAATCGCCCCTACCCGCTGCTGCATCAATTGGCATTAGAGCAAAAGATCCAAGTCCATCAAGTCCAATCGAAAAATCAAGGTTAAAAAAAAAAAAAAAAAATCCAGAACCAAACCACCGCTGCCTCACCATCACCAAAACCACACAAACCTTAGTTGTCATCGTCCTCTTCCGCTGCAACAGTCCATACTCCAACCTCAAAATCCTCCACCATTAGATCAAGATCAAGACCACGCTAGTGACGCAACCCAGCCAATACTATATTAACGAACAAAACTCACCACCCAAACAACCAAACCCATCTCACCATAGCCAAGCCAACAGTCTCCCTTGAAGATCCTGCGAAAACCATCACAAACCCCCATACCACAATAGTCAACGGCATCCTCAGACCCTCCCTTTCGCCGCTGCAAATACTGGGAACCTGCAACTTCCATTGCTTGCCTCACCAATCAGTAAACAAAACAGCATCTTGCTGTAATCTCAGCCACAGTCCTCGCCATCATCACTTTCACTGGAGTTTGTTAGGTTGTTGCCGGAATCTTGCCATTGTCGCCGGTCAGCCACTGTCTCTTCTTCATCACATCGCTGCTCTCGTTCCAACCTCACACTTCTGTTACGCGATTTGGGAAAGCAGCGGATTATTATATATATTAGTGGCAATATTTGACCTTTTTGGTTACGAGCACAGAGTTATTCTAGTTCTGAAATCAGTTCAGAACTGAACCAGTTCAACAGTTCCAGAGAATCAGCAGTTCAAAAAAGAAAAAAGAATGATAAGTTTGCACAAAAAGAATTCACTCAAGATCATTTTGAAGGAATTTTAAAATATCATGAGTCATCTAATTCCATTGTGTCCAATAAAGATATCAAGTACCCTAGTAATTTCTGGAAGACACTTTGGACATTCTTAGGAGCAAATTTGAAGTTTACTTTTGCATCTTGTCCGATGACCGATAGGAAAATTGAGGTTGTGAACCAAGGTCTAAGAAAGTTGGTTAGTTTTATTGTTAGCATGCAACTAGACACTTGGAGCTTGTTTTTACCCATCATGGAGTATGTTTGTACTAGTTTGACTAATGAAAGTACTGGTAGATGTTCGTTTGAGGTTATTTATAGTGCTTTACCAAGCCAATCCATTGATTATTATCATCCACCTCCATGTATGTATTCACTTGAATTTGTTGATTCCTTCGTGCAGCTTGTTCATGATTTTTATGCCGCTATGCGCCAAGAAATTGTAATAAGTAAAAAGAATTATAAACTTGCTGCATATGCTCATAATAGGAATCATGAATTTAATGAAAGAGATTATGCTATAATTTGTGCCTACCTCAATCTTATCATAAAAACTCCTTCCAGATGAAACAAGCCAAAATTGATAGACTTCTCCATATCATTCAAAAATCAGGACCTAATGCATATTTCTTTGACTGGTCTTTGGATATGAGTATTAGTTCAATTTTTGATGTAAAGTATCTGTTACTTAATCGAGGCACCTTTGAGCCTCCTATTTTGTTGGCATGTGTTGCTACTGGCAGCATTCCATCTTTCTCAGCATCAGCATTGGCACTTCCGTCTTCTCAATTGCAGTATATTGATTGGATTGATCGTATTTGGAATGTCCACAATTACCTTCCAGCTTCAGATTTTACATGGATTGTAGTGACACAACTTTATTATGTTGACTTTTACTTTTTGAAGATATACATTTGCATTTACTCTCCGGAGGAGAGTTCTTCTCAACCGGGAGGGAATGATGGAGAACCAGGCCTAGCCTGAGGCCTTGAAGACCACATAGCCCACACCTACTATTGGAGGGGAAAGAAAGATAGAATTAGAGATTTTTGTTTATTTATTATTATTATGGGATATTTCAGCAATTTAGGATTTTATTTATGGTAATAGGTTGATTAGGGTTTTTCTTTGATGTCTATTAATATGTTGGTTCAAACATTGTGAAAGTTAGCTTTGATGATTGATTATTGATTATTATTTAGAAATTTTTGTATTTCTTCTCCCTCTTTCTCCCTCTGTGATTCTTCTCTTCTCTCTCATTCTGATTTCTTCCCCTATTAGTCTTATATTCTATTTCTCTCTCAATCTCGATCTTAACCTCTCTCTTATTTACTTGAATTCTGTTTTCAAATCACCCCTACCCGCTACTGCATCATAAAATCAACAAAAAGTAAATCAAAATGTGTTTATAAAAGCACTCAATCACTCAAACCTTAATCCCAACCCTCCCACCAACTTGAAAGATTCTCACTACTCACCACCAACTTGAGTCTTAACCAAAATGACCTACCTAGGTTTCCTTGTTAGACAAGAATAGCAACTCCTTATATCTTATGAGTTTCCGAACAAGAACTTAACAAAATATAACTCCAAAATAGAAAACCGATCAGAGTACGATTTTAAGACATATCATAACATTGGCGGGTAAGAAATGCATTTAGTGGGGAAAAACAAAACAGAAGCCCAGATTGAAATCAGAGAGTAGATAGTAAAGACGTTTACTTGATGATAACAAGGTGGAAACCAAAATGCTAAAAAAGTGTAAGGGAATGTATAATAGTAATGCATTTCTTAGAGTCGTCAGTCTCTCTTATTGGTTGGTTGAGTGAGAAATGGTATTATTTGTATTATGATATTAAAGTTGTCCACAAAGTACTCAGACAAAGAGTAGTTTAGTGAAGAAATCGAAGGATACTTCAAATTTTTCTCAATATAGCTTGGAACAACATGAACCACCTAGTCAATGCTTTTCTGCATAATTTTGCTAGTGGATGGCTATTTTATCTATCTTCAAAATCAGCAAACTAGATAGCAGTTTTTATCTAGGTGGGGTAAGAATTTTGAGAATTAACAAACCTACTATTTTTTATGTTTTGTGGTTCCTCTTTGTTATTGCTAATTATTTTTGTATCATTTAAGGTTTCATGCGGGTTTATAGGACCACATTCAAGATCTAAACAGAACAAACATCATGAGAAAGGAGAAGAGAAAGAAATAGAAAATATAATAAATTATAGCAAATTATTGTTTCTCCTCTAGAAATGAAACCATTAGGGTAAAATGAAGTAAAACAAAAATTAAAACAATTACTCTGATCCATGCGTACTGGAGCTGATGTATGGAATAGATTTGAGGTCCTCAATTCGGTTGTCACCCACCAAAATCCCTGCTTCATAAAATAAAAAAATAAATAATAAAAACCTTCAAATTAACGACTTTCCCAATAACTGTCCAACAATCCACTTTTTTGCTCAATTTTACTCATGCTCTGCTAGGTTGTTGAAAAAAACAAATGTAAATAAAAAGACTTTGAATCTTAAAACTCATTTGTGGTTGGAACAGTTAAGGGTCAACTGTTTCTCTACTTATTTTACAAGGATCAATGTCGAAATATTTAAGTCAAAGATTGCATTATTTTCTATGGCATACACATCAATAAATCATTGTAAACAATTATCATTGACTGTAAAACGACGTCCCACTCCCATTAGGCATGCATAGTCACAAATTGCAAGGAGCAAAGAGAACCTGACCAGGAGCCTTTGCAGTTTTACACCAAAGGGGTGTACTGAATTAGCACTTTTTTTTTCTCAATTCAAAGCTTCTTACAAGCTCTTGAATTGAAAAACCGGAACATGAATGTTTTTGATACCTAGACCAGTGCATTGACATACAAAATGCTCCTAATCAATCCAACTAAAATGATTTATAAAAAATATAAAAAGGGTCAATTTTGTGGCTATCCCAATCTAGGAATATACATCAATCTTAAGAACAGTAGGGAATTATGGCTTTACTATAATTATGTCCTTAATATAGCCTCCGAAATTCCTCCACTTCCATACATATTATATGTCTTAAATTCAATTCAATAACCTAGACAGCATCCCAAAACTTGTACACATATATGTCTAAAATTCTAAAATTCTATAACCTAGACAGCGTCCCAAAATTAACGTTCGAGACACACCCAGTAACAATCATTTTTAATAGACCCATCGAAGTCCAGCAACTTGTAAGCACGGAGAACAAAAAAAAAAAAAAAAAAAAAAAAACCAGAATTCCAGAATCTATGTGTATTCATATAAGAAAAGAATGGTGTATCTATATATATATATACAGTATACGCATATAATATCAAAATTTGCATATCCGAAAAAAAACATGAAAGAGATCAACACAGATAATAGAAACTTGCCTTGGAGAAGTGATAGCTCGCAATTAGAACTTCGAATTGGTTATTCTTTGATAAAGATCAGACGCTTTACAGAGAGAAACGGAGAGAGGGTAGAACAAAAGACGGGTCTCTGGAAGTAGAAGTTAATTTACAGTATATGACAAGCAAAGCACATTCTCGGCATTCAGTATTAAACTACTGAAAGAGAGCAAAATTGACCCTCCCTCTCTGTCGCTCACTCGCTCGTCCTCTCAAGAGATAAATATGATTTCTAATTACTATCAGATAACAAAAGTTATATATATATTTTAGGTAATTTATAGTAAAATAAAAAATGATCCTCATAGTTTTTTGTTTTTTTGCCGAGTAATGATCCTCATAGTTACATTCTGTTTTCTTTTTCAGGAAATTATAGAATTTATCTTTAAACATTTTCCAATTCTATGATTATAGAGTGTATGGTTAGGTAAAACTAAAATAATCCTTTATTTTTTATTTTTTATTTTAATACTCCTTATAAAATTGGTTAAATAGAATGTGCACAAAAAAGGTTGGTAGCTATGATTGGGCAATTGGCTTAAGAATTTGATAAAAGTCATTTTCATTTTTGTTTTAAAAATTGCCGACTGTTGCCGGCAATAATTAATTCGTTTATTTCCGAATAAACCAATATCACTTTTTGGGGTGTTATTATATGGTGCAAGAAAGACCACTCAAACAAGACAAGTGAGTAGTTGATTTACAATTTTAAGATTTTGAGGACACTTAAAAATGGTACGAATATTAATTAATATGTAATTCTAAAGTAAACAACAACAATTCATATGGTAAAAAATATTACTTGAGTCACTTAAAAGCAAGTCAATTAGGGGGCGTGTTGCTGAATTTTCAAACTAAACCCATGGAAATTGTGATTGAAGTTAGGCATGGACCTAACATCACAACTACCCTTCTCAATATTTGTCAATGTGCCTTCGAGTTGCATTATGTACCTCAAACTCTGCTCCTTTGATACTTTAATGGTGTCCAATGTCTTTCTGGTACGACTTTCCATGAATTAAAAAATAAAAAAGAAAAAAAAAACCGCTAACTTTACAAGGGTTTGTGAACTATTTATTGAGAGATCTCAAGTCTTAACCAACATGAAATAATTAATAATTAATTAGGGATAACATTTTGTACAATGATGTCGTCAAAATTTAGGTTTATATCAAGTTTGGTATATGTATGGTGACAAAAAATAAAAAAATAAAAAAATACATATATATATATATATATATATATATATATATATATTTTAAAGTAAAAATAATTCACTCATGCACTTTAGTTTTACTAAAGCTTAAACATCTGATCTCTCTTGAAAAGTAAGCATATGATAATATTGAATATCTGACCTTTCGGTAATAATGATAACCCTATAGGCTTGGTCTAGACTTGACTACCATATGTTTAGGAATTGAGACCAATGTATTGACTGGGCCAATGGGCCCAAGATTAGAGTAGTAATTCCCAATGTATGAATGGCTATTGAGCCACTAATGTAATCAACAGCCCTAAAAAAAGCAGATTGGATGAAACAATCCAAGCCCATAACATTTTCACAAACCCTTTCTAAGGGATACTAGAATCTGCTAGGCCCGCCCACTTTACAAACTCTCACTCTCTCAATTGCAGCCCGCAGGCATTCAGAAACGGACGACGACAATCACAATCAAAGTTATACATACATATATATATATATATATATATATATATATATGTATGTATGTATTACTTATTTATGTATAGAAATTATTAGGGTTTATTGTCTTCCAAATTTTTTCCCTATATACTTGATTTTGAGTATATTTGTTGTTCCTTTTTCATTCAGCTGCTGCTTATGGTTTGAGGACTTGTGTCGAAGCAGTCATTGTGGTTAACTCAACTCCTTTTCTCTTTATTAATTATTTCTTGAAATCCATTCATTTTGCCTATGAAAAAAGAATCCAGTCATTTTCTTATTAATTTGGAAAAAAAAATGGAAGTTTTTACGTGATTTTATTATGTATTCATTATTTAAATTTTTTTTTTTTTTTTTTTTTTTGGTGTGGCCATGACTGTGAATATGGACAACTGAGATATTGATGTTACGAGCAAAGACAGCTTTTTTTGTTTTGGTCAGGAAAGACAGTTTTGCATTTTTTAGCAAATTGAATATATATGCTTAGTCTGTTGAAAATAAACTTGATTTTAGTATTTAGTATTTTTAAATATTTTTGTATCCATGATGCATGTGTTAATTTAGTATGTTAGTGAGTAGTAAATTATCTTAGTGGGAGTTAAGGTTATGTAAAATAAAGAGTCATGAGAGTTAAGCCTAACAAATATTATGTTAGTGGGAGTTATGTATATTGAAGATTATGTTAGTGGGAGATAGGAGAGTTATGGACAAATGTAATGGTTACACATACATATGTGAGGCCTATATATTCATGTACTCTAGTCAAATAATAGAAGTGAAATAAAAAATATTTTCCTCCATTTCTATTTTCTTCCAAATAGTATAGTGTTGTGTGTGTAACTAGGCCACTATTTCCAACAAAGTGGTATCAGAGCCAGATTTCATGTTCAAAGGCAGATTTCATGTTCAGAACCTAGACGATCCTGAAGGCCAGACGAAGTTGGTCCTAGAAGGTTCAACATTTAAGAAAAACATGTTTCTCCTTGATGATGATGAAGGGGAGAAAATGTATTTTCTTAGTGAAAAGATGATGTTCTCTAATTACAAGAGAATGAGAATCATCATGACTTCATACCTCAAAGCATGCGATTTGTGGGATGTTGTTGGAGAAAAGCCAAAGAATGGCATGTCCAACAAGCTTCATGAAAAGAAAGAAGATAAGGCATTGGTAGTGTTGCAAAAGGCAATAAATCAAGAAATTTGGGAGTATTTTAGAGAGTCCAAAACTCCAAGTTGTATTTGAAAGATGTTCGAGACCATCGTTTCCAATCATAGAGGTGAATCACTACCCATGGAGTATTGGGTACAATGCTTTGAGAATGATGAGTTTACGAAAGATGATTATGAAAGTCTTGAAGATTTTGGAGATTCAAAAGTTGAAGGAGAATTTGAAATGGTGAATAAGGAAGAGGTAAGAAAAGGTGTTAAAGAAGAGATTGAAAAAGTGAAGGAGGATGAAGTGAAAATAGAAGATTTAGAAGAAGGAAGTGATAAAGAAGAGGCAAAAGTTCAAGTTGGTGAATTAACATCTTCAGGTATGGTTACAAATTCTACCTTGAAAGAAGTTATATTTGACTTGTTTGATGAAATTATTATTTCTTCATATTCATCAAATAATGCTTATTTTGTGCAGAATGATGAACTTCTCTTAAAGAAAGTTGTTCCAAAGAAGTATGAGATTGAAGCCCAGGATGATAAGAAATTCTCATATTATTTTTTAAAAAATAGTTTGGAGAATTTTGTAATTGATACAGGTTGGGTGAATATGGAATTATTTTTTGACTCTAAAGAAGAAGTTGTTGGAAAAATATATGCTTAATGTGACTTTTAAGATATAACAACCCTTATACTAATATGTCATGAGATAATTAACAATATGCTAATAAATCATTAATTAAATATGCAACTCTATATTTAATTAAATATGCAAAATAAAGCAATAAAATAATAATAATATGCAAGGAATGAACCTGGACCGAGGCTAGTATTGGATACTATGTCCTTAAGACAGATTCGCCCCGCTATGGTGCTAACGGACTCAGTGGCGTCTATCTCCCAGGATACAACGATCTACATCCACCAGTAGCAGCACTACAAACTCGTGGATACGGCGAACCTCCTCCGTGTAATACTCTCTCTGACTCAAAATTGCATCTATATACTATATAAATGCTGAATTGGGTGTAATCCGAACCAAATGGTTCGGACCAATCTTAATATGGCTCGATAAAATTAGATTAGGGTCGAAGTGGCTCGAACCACTTAACCTATGGTTTGAACCCACTTGGGTTGGGTTCCAGTCTAGAGAGGGAGATAGAAGAAAATGAAAATAAATTAATTGCAAATGATCCAAAGGGGGGTATTTATAGAAACAGATATACCTTTTCGGATTGGGTGTATCTCTTCATTATTGGACACAACTATTGCAATAGGTTGCAATGGTTCACATGGTGTCTGTTCACCACTAGACACATCTATTCTAATAGGTTGCAATGGTTCACATGGTGTCTGTTCACCAATAGACACATCCATTCTAATAGGTTGCAATGGTTCACATGGTGTCTGTTCACCAATAGACACATCCATTCCAATAGGTTGCAATGGTTCACATGGTGTCTTTTCGAGTGGGTGCAACCATGGGTTATGATGGTTCGGAAAAAGATGTAACCCTTTGAAAAAAAAACTAAAAAGTGGTTTTTTAATTTAAAAGGTGTAACCCTTTAGAAAAACTAAAATATGGTTTTTTAATTTAAAAGGTGTAACCTTTTAGAAAAACTAAAAAGTAGTTTTTTTAATTCAAAAAGCCAACCACCCAAAAAACCCACTCATTTGTGAAACCCATTTAAATAAGCCCAGCCCAAAATTAGGCCCAATCCAAAATTCCAAAAAAGAATAATCTGGACTTTACAATTAGGCCCAAGCCCAAATCATAAACTCAGCTTATTTAAATTTCAATTTGTTTCAACATTTTTTCCATGTGGGACAAACACTTTCCACATTTTGCATACCCATTTAGGCTTATCAAAACACCACACTTTGGAACTAATTTCTCATTCATCCGGAAACGGATTTTAGAAAGTAAATATACCACATTCATCTCCTTACGAAGAGAAACGCGCTTGTCTAGAGATTCGTAAAAAATTATTAACAGAATCTATTTCAAATCTCATCCAAAGTTTATGTTTTTAATACCCCCGTTTCCAACAGAAGTATATGTGAAGTTGAAGATCCATAAAAAATTTAAGAAGAAAAAAGATCGATGGTGTACTTGTATAAAGAGGATGATATATGATTATGTGAAGACATCAAACAAGCATTTGAAGAAGTTTCACAAGCCCTACACATCAATGGAAATGGCCAAGAAGATTGAAGCTATTGAAGGAGGTGGAATTGAAGATCAACTATCGAACTTTTGATCAAGCCCCCAAGATTAATAAGAAGGTTTTTCAAGTTACAAAATCAAGTTTAAAGGGGGGTGTTGAAAATAAACTTGATTTTAGTATTTAGTATTTTCAAGTATTTTTGTATCCATGATGCATGTGTTAATTTAGCA